CAACAAAACGAACAGACAAACAAACAACCAAACAAATGAACAAAACAACACAAAAGATGTAAGCACTATTACTAAAATACAAGTCTTCCAAAAGGTGTAAGTGTAAGCACTATTACTATTACAAAAGTACCAAAGTCTTCCAAGAATGCATACTCACACAACATTTCGGAAACGTCACTGCTCATGCGGAGGTCCTTGCAGTTTATGTCCTTCAATGTCTCAATCTCTCGCAGTAGGGACCTGTTCTCCTCAGCTAACCGGTCTGTTTGTGAAAATGGAGAAATGGTATAGGTTTTTTGCTATTGTTGTTGTTGTTTTTTAGTAAGTGTTTTACGCGCCTGCAACTGCAAAAAGTCACATGAGCATGGGGAACACATTAAACCTTTTCAGTTTGTAGGAAATATTGAATTTTAGCCGGTGGCGGCCAAAGCCTACTCTTAGCAATTTTAGACCACCAAGGGATATTTAACGTGCGCAACTTGCACACGGAACCTCCGAGATTTTTCGCCCTTGTCCAATCTTTTCTACCAGAAGATCAGGGGTGTAGCTGAAAGATAGCAGTAAAAAGGAGCCAAGGAGTAGCTGTAGAAAGGCTACAGAAAGAGTCAGGAGCCCAGAGGAGGGGACAAAGGAGGTGAGAATTAGGGGGGGGGGGGGAGAGAAAATGGAGAAAAAAGCAGACGACAGAACATTGCTAGAGAGCAGGAAAGGAGATAAAAGGAGACAATTTTAGAGAAGACATTTTTTTCGTCGCTATCCGGATTCGAGGCGAGCACCTTAACTTCTAGGCCACGAAAACCCATGGTATAGGTTTAATGGCCCTATCAACACTTAGGTTATTTAAGAGGCGGGACCCCCGAGTTCAACGTCCATCTCTGAAAGGACCCAGCCAAGAGGGGAATTCGTGTAAAGTAACTTTCCAAAGGACACAACTTCGGACCGAGCTGAGGCTCGAATACCCGATCCCGCAATCTCACGATTACGAGTCCGGTAGCCTAACAACTAGGCTAACGACGCCACCTGTTTGTAGAAAGACCAAGAACCGTACGGTCAGTACAGTTTCAGCAAAAAAAGATATGGTAACATAAGAGTTTTTAGTTTCAGTGCGAGTTTTACGGCATTTGCAACACAATAAAATCATAATATAAGTGGCGAAGAATAGATGTGTTACAAGAGAGTAACATACACAAAAGGAAAGAGGAAAGATAAGGAAGATAGATGTTTGATAGGAAAGAAGGAGCAAACCTCACCAGAGCATAATATGGAACGCGAAATAATTATTATTGACGCAGTCTAGGTTCGTAATTTAAGGTGTCATCTGGTTTCTTTTTCCCTTGCAAATGATCTAGCCATCTGGATCTGTAATTTCCTTTACTTCTCGGTCTGGTAAGCTAATTACTGAATTGAAGACTTAAATTTCGAAGTACCCAAATACACCACGTCCCCCAGAAAAGAGGTGAGAATTTTTGTCGAGTATATCGGTCTTTCTGCTGGAATATCGTATCCTTCTTGACCAGTGTTGGCTCTGGAAGGTAAAGTCGAAGCCCACCCCCTAAATGACCTAAACTGTGTCGATGAGGGCGTAAAACATTTACATTTAAACAATAAAATAATACAGTATATACACACATCTATCTATCTATCTATACCTATTCAAGACCGAGGAGAAAAGTGCTTAGACGGCCACAAAGATGACTACCTATCTTAGATGAGAACATTTCTCCTCGGTAATTAGTGGACGTCTTAAACAGGTTCGGATGTACA